GTTTACGTTTTCCCCACTCGAAACGGAAAAACCGACTCGCCTTGAAAATAATAAACAGTCGTAGAAAAAGTGCAGTGTGTTAGACACTTATCTAGAAACATTTAGAACTGTCCAAAACAATTTAGAACGCTCCACAGAATCATTTAGAACTGTCTAAATCCTCGAGTAAGGCGAAAAGATTTCAGCCTCACAGGGAAAGACCGCGATTTTCAGTTTGAACAATTTACATTATTCTCCTTATTAGTTCAAGACAGTTCTAAATAATTTTGGAGCGTTCAAAATGACTCTGAAGCGTCCTAGATTGTTCTAGACAGTTCCAAACGATTCATCAAGCGGATAACTTTCCACCCTACCCTCGTAGAGAGAAAAACAAGGAGAGGATGCGAAGGATATCGTGACAGGTGTTAACTGTCAATTGTCAAATTCGGTATGTAATGGTAGGGGGGAAAGGTGGAGAAAAACGGGAATTTCGAGTGGGTGTTGTGCTTTAGTCGACGTTTCGTGGGGCATGAAATATTTAAGGAGAAGAGGTGAAATGGTGAAAAGAGAGGAAATTCCATTTGCGAATCGGCGATGTCAAAAAGCTTGCAGGTTGGAGGAGTGGAATATTTAGCAGCCACTTTGGCGAATGTAAAGCGAGCAATTCGGGATTGAATTGAAACGGTTTGTTGCTAATATACGCCGCGTGCCGGTATAGAGGTTGGAAAATCGGATGGGGGTAAATTCGGGATTTTTTTTGAGTAAAATTTAATAGTAGATAGTCTAAGAGAGCCTCTGAGTAAGTTTTGTTTCTAGTATTCTGCGTGCCGGTAGAGGGTAAAAAGGAAAATCGGGTCGAGTTGGTGGGTAAATGGGTGATCTTCCGAGCAAGTTTTATGAGTATTTTAAGAGAGACTTTGCGTGCCGGTAGAGAGAAAATTGGGGGATTTTCTACTGGCGTGCGTTGTACAGGTGAATTAACTGTACAAGGAAAAATTCCGTATGTAAGTCATAAATAATTCAGTAACTATTTATCGGAGGTTTTTGGTGTCGAAATTTCGAATGAATCGATTTTACTTTAACACTGATTTATGCGGATTATAATTGGAAAATTCGGGCGAATTGAGTTTAATATACTTTGAGTTCGAATTGAGAAAAATCGCTCTATTTATTAGAAATAAATTTCGGAATGGGTTTTGTATCATTATTAATCTACTTTTTTTATTATACATATATTATATTGGTGTAATTATTATTTATAAATTCGATATATCGAATAAATTGTGTATTTATTTGCGTTCAAATGTAGCGTAAATGAATATTGTTTTTAAACGAGCGACTTTCCATTAAATTTTCAACAATTTACAATGTTTTAATTAAAAAGCGATATTATATTATAATATATTCGAATAGAATTTTGTTGACATTGTTACATACTAAATCGAATCAATATAATATTTTGAAGGGAACAAATTTAATAAACTTTACTTCGTCTGGACAATTCTAAACATTTTAAAATTGAATATGTCAATTACCTACATATTTGAAACAGTTCGGAATAATCTAAAAACTGCCCAGAATCATTTGGAACTATTTTAGATCTTACTTTATCCATTTGAAACAGTTCCAGACGAACTTAGAACCATTTGCAACTATTATTTAAATTGCACAAATTTTTTATCGTCTGGAAAAATGTAAACATAAATGTAAATAGGTTGTTTTTTTGTACATCATCGTTATGTAAATGGGAGAAAAATTGCATATGAAATTTGAATAAAATATTTTAGAGATTTTCATCCGCATTAGCCAGGCCATTAAATTATAAATGGACGTTACACGAGCAGCATTCCGATTTATGGAAACTTTAATTCAACTTTAATTCGACAAAACGGGTTTTACGAGTGCATTTCGTCGAGAGCAAAAACCCATCAGGAATTCCGAAATCGATTAAACATTATTGACAAAAAATTTATCATATTTTATCTTTACCGAAATTTAAAACATTTCCGTTATTAAGCAAACATGGAAAATAAAAAATAAAACGCGACAGCAAATATTTTCATATTTTTCCAATGCAATTTCGACGAAAATAAATATACAACGGGATGTACCAGTTTGTAATACAGTGTATAGACATTCGATGTGTATTCAATACATGTTCGATACATGTTCAGGCACGTATTTGATGAAACAATAAACCACTGCCAATAATATCTAGCCATAGAATCGTAGAAAAATATATACTCACTATTGAAGGCCTTTAACTACCCAGCATTTCAGCTATTTTTAAATATATTTCACAAATAAGAGCCCTATTGAATTGATATACTTTTCCCATATTAAGACTCAAATAAGCAACGTTATATAATCGTCGGTTACAAAACCATTTGGTTATAAAAAAAACTTCTGAATAAGGGTTTTTTTAACTCCTACATCGGCTAAAAGAAATTAACAAATTAATCAAATGCCGATTTTCCCGGGATACTTCCATACGAACGTAATCATCCGCAATATCGTAGGAAAATGTATTAAATTTCGACGAGTTTCTCCTCGAGGCGAACTTCTCCCGAAACAATACGACTGTGGAAAAACTCCGGAAAATCCGGTCCGTTTCGCTCTCGCTTTTAATTATTTCGCCCGGATATCTCCGATGAAATAGACTATAAAAGATCCCAAACTTTTTTCCCCTCTTCGTTAAACAAACACTCCTCCGATACCCTACAGTATTACGTCATATACAAAGTAACACACTGTACTTTTTCTACGACCTATTTCTTTTGCAGTCATACAAAATTGTACATCTTCAAACTCTCTTCAAGCAAATTATTGCTAATCGTTCCGTCTTTGTCGGTTTACCCTCTCCACTGGGGAGCCTTTGTAACACAAAGCGCTGTTGCCACATTTCGACGACCGGAAAATCAACAGTCATATCGATATTAGCCCGGAGTATTCGGCGTGTTTTGTTATGTATGAATGTGCCCGGAATTAGAACCATTTATCATCGGACCCTCTCTAAGTCCGGGAAGATGTATAATGTTTTGCATATTAATCGTTAGAGGTAGGTATTATTACTCCGGGTTTTACCTAGGAAACGAGACATTTGTTACACTTTACAAGATAATTAATCGAAATATTGTGGGTAACTCCGTTATTGACGTATTAACAAAGAATGCAAAAGGGTAACTCCGTTTTTGATGTAAGAATTAATTAGCTATATGCGGGGTCAATAAATACCTGAAACCGTGGCGATTAAGGAATTTAATTAGATCACATAATCGGATTGCGATCGGCGCGAAAAACGGGGAATCCCCAGAATGAATCTCTCCACCTTTTCTTCGGGGTCCATCGTTTTCGGAACGATTAAAAACGAAACGGGTGCCAATTAAAGTAGGCTTAAATTCGCCGATTTCGTTGAGGAAGTTTTTCCGGGATTTTTTTTTATTTTTTCGTTCGTCCCGAAGACGGAGCGATATCAATGAAGTTCGAGCGTGCACAAAAGGAAAACGTAAAACAACGAAAACAAGCGGAACTTTTCGCCGTTTTACGATTTTAATAAAGATTTTCCTCTGCCGGAAAGTTTCGGCAGGATTTTCGAAATAATGACGCGGAAAAAGGAAACTTTCGCCGGACAGTTGACGACACTTTTAAATGTTTAACTGTCTATTTCGTTTGCCCGTTTCGTTTTGGCATTTCGTTAGCATTTATTAGGCGAATTTTATTTCGTATTTTAAATCCTAATTAAATCGAGCTTTTTTTTTAAGTGAAAAGTTTCGTAATCGCAACGGGTAACTTTTTAATTGACTCATCACAAAAAGTTCCTTAATCATAAATATACTTGACAATTAGGTAACTCTTTTCTATAGAAATTGTAGACTTTCTAAATTTATCTAGTAGGTACTAAATCTGATTCAATTAAGAGTACTAACAATAAATCCTAATTAAATCGAGCATTTTTAAGTGAAAATTTTAGTAATCTCTTTCTTTGACCAATTACAAAAAGTTCCTTAATCATATTTAGATCCACAACAATAAGGTAACTTTTTTAGCGACGTTAATCTTCATAATTGTCGTTCGAAATATCCAATTAAACTAATTAAAACGATGCGAAATAGCACAAAGCGCCTTTACCTACACCACCGGAACGCCATTTAAAGGACCTCTCCCGGTGCACTTACACCGAATTATACTGTTTCTAATTAGAGGAAGTTCCTTATCTAGAAACTAACATGGCCATTTGCGAGACCTTATCTAATACACTTGTACACAGAAAACAACTTCGCCGAATCAAGGCGATGTTCGCCTAGACTTTTTGCCCGTCCCCCAAACCTAAACCTAAACCTAAACCAGAAATTTATCGTCCGGACACCGCCGATTAGTCGGCGGTTTTGTTTCGATCTAATCGAGATTTATCGCCAACTCTAAAATCTAATCTTCGGTTTCGCTATAAAAAAATATATACAGGGTGTCTCTAAAAGGTTGGGACATGTTGGGAGCAATTTTGGTATAGGGCTTGATTGGCCAAAGGCTTTTTCATGAAACATTTGTACAGAATATCTTTGTTTAGTGAGCTATTATTGTGTGAGAATTTTTTTAAAACTTATCAATCTGTCAAAATAAACGAGGATTTTAAAAATAATTTGGGTTTTTCAGAAAAACCAGTGGCGTACCATTATTTATTCTTCATATCCATATCCATATCCAGTTCAAACCCCGTACGGACGTCACTGGTAAAATTTATAAAAAATCTTTCGTCTCAAAAAATGCTCCATAACATTAAAAAAGTGTGTACAAAATTTCATAAAAATACCTGGAGTAATAAGAAAATTATGAAGAAAATTACGAAGTTATTTTTTTTTCTAAAAACTACCAATACTCTATAGCTCGAAAACCAACAGCTTCAGGACATCTATTAACATAAACTTCTCTTCCTAAAATCGCCCAAACACTCACATCCCGAAATATCTCGGTACCCAATTAAAATACCACCCAGTAGAAGCGAATAATCCCATCATAAAACTCACCTGTGATGAGCCACAGCTCTCGCAGGCACTCCTCGCGGTTCTTCTGGAAATCAACGGCTTGGGAGCGCTGCTGCTCCTGCGGGCCCCCCTCGATCGACTCGAACAACATCGCCCCGAAGAGAACGTAGCCCGTCATCAGCAGGAAGAGGCTCGCCCGACCGCACAGGATCCCCACAATGCAACGTCTCGTCGCCGATATCGAACTGTTATCCTCCATCTGCAACAAAAATTTAGACTAACAGGCTATGCATGGTAATAAATTAGATGCAGAGAATCATTTAGAACTGTCTAGAATCATTTAATAATTGTTTAGAACCACTCAGAATGCTCCAGAATCATTTAGAACTGTCTAGAATCATTTAATAATTGTTTAGAACCACTCAGAATGCTCCAAAATCATTTAGAACTGTCTAGAATCATTTAATAATTGTTTAGAACCACTCAGAATGCTCCAGAATCATTTAGAACTGTCTAGAATCATTTAATCATTGTTTAGAACCACTCAGAATGCTCCAGAATCATTTAGAACTGTCTAGAATCATTTAATAATTGTTTAGAACCACTCAGAATGCTCCAGAATCATTTAGAACTGTCTAGAACTAAACTAAAGATTTCGCCTAAACTTCACTTTGTTAAATTTAGAGTACATATTATACTCGTATACAGGGTGTCCAGATAATAGAAGTCATAATACGCTCCCGAATTATTGACACCCTGTATTTTTCGGTTCATATTAGATATCGATTCGTTTTGGGGGTTTTTTATTAGTCGAAGCTGACAAAAGGGCGAGATTTATATATTTTTATATTTAACGCTTCCCTTGACAAATGGAGCTTGCTTCAACGGCGGATTTTATTGCATATAGGAGTCGTTTTTTTTTGTATTCATTTGATTGATGGCGACTCTCGCTCAATACCGCTCTAATAATGGCGCTAATCTCTAACATTTCAATTAGTCGCGGAAGTTCGATAATTCGATGATGCAATTGGAGCCGGTCCGGCGGGAGTTTTCTGCAGGAAACTTTTTATATTAGCTCTCTTATATTGTATAGGTAAGAGGTATTCGGGTGTGTGGAATTCCTGCACTCGAGTAATCGAATTACCGGAGCTCGACTTCTGAAAGCATCATCAAATGTTTATAGTTTAGTTACGCGCCGGAAGTTTGCTTTGTAACAGCGCCGGGAAAATTCCTGCTGGCGTTTTTTAGAAGAGAAAAATTCGAGTACCTAATATAGTTTCCTAATCTCTGCCAACTTTGCTTCAAATCAGCTCCAAAAATAAAATTCCTGCTACCGTTTTTTAGCAAAGAAAAATTCGAGAATTACGGCTTCTTAATCTCTATAACTTTGCTTCATATCAGCCCCAAAAATAAAATTCCTGTTACCCTTTTTTAGCAGAGGAAAATTCCAGAATTATTGCTTCTTAATACCCAGAACTTTGCTTTATATCAGCTCCAAGAAGAATATTCCTGCTACCGCTTTCTACTAGAAAAATATTCGAGTAATATAGTTTCCTAATCTCTACAACTTTGCTTCATATCAGCCCCAAAAATAAAATTCCTGTTACCGTTTTCTAGCAGAGAAAAATTCAAGTATTATAGCTTCTTAATCTCTACAACTTCACTTTATATCAGCCTCAAAAAATATTCCTGCTACTGTTATTAGCAGAGAAAAATTCGAGTAATATAGCTTCTTAATCTCTACAACTTCACTTTATATCAGCCTCAAAAAATATTCCTGCTACAGTTTTTTAGCAGAGAAAAATTCGAGTATTATAGCTTCTTAATCTTTGATGTAACCGGCAATGTTTGCCGACATGAACTTTAGGTGTTTCGTATAGCTTTCGAAGCCTGTTTAGCTTAGTTATTCGGTTTCAAACGATAAACTGCAGGATATCCTATTACAGTCTAATCCCATTTAAGTACGAAAGGCATCAGTCCTGCCACGAGGGTTGACAGAAATATCGCTCGAATGAATAATTGAAATCTCTCGTCGACTCAATAAGTACGAGGCCATTATACTCTACAATATTTTAACGAGTTTTACCAATTTATTTAACAATTTTACGTAGGTATAAGTGCAGGAAAATTGTTGTGAATTAAAGTAATTATAAGTCATTGGAAAATTAAATTTTCTATACCATTTTCGAGCTAAACAACAACGAAACTTTCCAATCGCAGAGCACCTTCAAAAATCAACTTTACCACTACAAACAAAACTCGAAGCATACAAATAATAGATAATCGAGAAAAATACAGTTCGTATCGAACAGTTTTCCCGCAAAACTGACCTTTATAAACGCGGGGAATCCCGCTCGTTACGATACAACGAGAATCGCCGCGTTAGCACGAATCGAAATCTCCCGGCATGTTCGAGCGGATTTTCCGGGGACGGGAGGAAAAGCGTCGCGACGTCGACGCCTGCCGCGATTCGACTGACCCGGGTTTCCTTCTACCGTGCGGATTTTCCTTCCGAAGTTTCCGCGCTTCGCGGGCTTCGCGCCCCCTCCGAAACGCAAGCGAGATTCGAATTTAATCCTGCAAGTAATTCGATATTAAATATGTTGTATTCGAGTGTAATTGATAACCCGCTACGGAAGCGATATCGAATTCGTATACGGGGTGGAAATGAAAAGATGTACCAAAAAAAAAAAGTACGCATTTTATTAATAAGAAAGTACAAAATTTGTACAGGGTGGTGTCCTCTAAGACTGGCGCAAATATTCTACGACTTTATACAAAAATGAATCGAAATTACCCCAACTTTCAAAATAAAATCCACTTTTGACACCTTCATTGGCGAATATTTGGAAAAAACTTACTTTTAAAAATCAAAATGGCGGATTAGCGGCCATTTTAGAAACATAAAAATAACTTCCAGCATTTTCTTGTAGCCAATTTAGTTGTAAGACAATTACGTTGCGAGATATAGTGCCATTTTTTCAGAGGACCACCCTGTACGTAAATAAGTATGAAAATTTTAAGCTTAATTAATCGAATTCACTTGATGAGATACTCTTTCCTCTGTTGCTCGAGCATGTTCTCCAAATAGGCGCATTTCTCCTGCAACGCCTTGTGTTCCTGTCGCAATTCGACGAGGATTTCGTCCTTTCTCGATACCGACACCTTGATCCTGCCGTAAAACGCGCGTATTAAACTCGATCGGCGCTCAGACAAAACAAAAAAAATCATCCGATTCTCACCTCGAATAGAGCTGTTGGAGCTCCTTTTCGCGCCCGCTCCTCAGCCGCCTCACCTCCGCCTCCAGCTTATCCATATCCTGTTTCGTTTGCGCCCTGACAATCGACTCGTAATCGCGCCGTTCGGTTTTGTATTTCTCGATCACCTGCGGAGAATTGTTAACGAAAACGTCGAGAAATATGTTGTGAGAATTCGTCGCCTGGCTGGATGCGTACCAGGTAAGAGAACAAACCGACAGCAAAGAGGGGAATTTTTTTGAACATTTATAAGACTTGGTCGCGTGTCCAACAAGAGAAGAGGCCATTAGATATGAAGATAAAGAAGAACTGGGCTGACAAGAGGATTAAATAATGTCAAATTTACGAATATTTATTGCATGGTTGGATGCATTTTATAAGCAAGATGCCAAGAACCTTAACAATTTACCTCTTTGGATTCATTCAATGCAGCTTCCAACTGCTTGACATTGGCACGTAAATTGATGGCGGCATCTTCCGCATCGAGCAACTTGGCTTTGGCGTCGCAGTATTTCGCTTTGGCATCTTTCTCGGAACCCTCCAAATCCTTGATCTCCTTCTCGTACTTCTCCCTCAATCGCCTGCAAAACCATTTCCCCCCATTCACCGACGACCCGCCAAAGCACCCGCACTCACCTGATCCTATTCTCCGTGCACCTCTCCAATTGCGCCTTGTTATCGTTGGCTTCCAGCTCCAATCGCCCGGCGATCGCTTCCACTTCTCTATCTTTCTCCAGCCTCATTTGCTCGCGCATCGTCGCCTCTCGTTCGGCCAGCAGCTGCGCCTGCTGTCGCTGCAAATCGCCCTTCCACCGCTCGAACTCCAAGCGAACGGATTGCTCGACCAGCTTCGACTCCTCGTCGTGCCGCCTCGCCGCTACCTGCGCGCGCAACACCCACCTCTAGATACACCCCGAAAAGCAGTAGGTCACTTTCACCTGTAATCTCTCGTCGAACTCCTCTCGGGCCAGCTTCAGTTGCTTCTCTTTGTCGACAGCGGCGGCCGCTTCGCGTTCCTCGCACTCCTTCAATTTGTTCGCGTGATCGGCGAAGAGCCGTCGGCGCTGCTCCTGGAAGGATTTCTCTTCGGCGTCCAGCATTTGTTCGTGGCGCTTGCGCATCACGTCCCTTTCGTGCGCTAGGGCTTTCTCGCGCTCTTCGACGAGCTGCTGGCGGAGGTTCTCGCATTGCTGTTGCATTTTTCTGGCCGATTTCAGTTCCAAATCTTCGATTTCGCGCTTGTGGAGCGACCTGATGTCGGCCAGTTCCTGCTGGTAGCGTTTCTCCATGCTCGCCAATTCCGGTTCGATGCTCTTCACCGTTAGTTCCTATCGAAACAACGATGTTAATTGACGAATCGAATGGTGTAAGTAGTCACCTTGATTTTCTGCGTTTTGTTGTCTATCCAGCTTTGCCTTCTCAGCTTCTCGCCGGCCATCTGCATTTCCTTCAGCTTCCTCATTTCCGTTTGGTGTTTGTGCTCCGAGGCTCTGGTGTTGGTGTTGTAGCGATCCTCCACCACTTTGAGTTCCTGTATGAGGCTTTCGCATTGTTGATTCAACGATCTCTTATCGGCTATCAGTTGATCTGAAACGAGCCGGTTTTATTAGCCAGCTAATCGAATCGATCTATGGACTCACCGATGAATTTCTGGTGGCGTTTGATCACTCCCTCGTACTCGTCCTTTTGCTCCTTCAATTTTTGCTTGACCGTTCGTTCGGTGACTTTGGACTGGCCGATGACTTTCTCGCGAAGATTGCTCATCTCGTCTTGCAGCAACGATATGGAGGAGGATTTGTCTTTGAGGCGCAGGCTCAGGTCGACGATCTGCCCGATGAGCTCTTCGCAGGACAATGCTCGAAGGTCTTCCGGTCTAAAATAAACGTTTGTTATTGATGAGGCGTTGTGGATGTGGTTAGTTAGTCGGTTACCTTGGTATAGTGTCTAATTTAATGGTGGATTTGGTGGCGAATTCGGTTCGGTGATTGGCCTCTTCTAATGACTGTATGCAGTTCCTGTCTACTTCGTCTAAATACGACAGCAGTTGGCTGGAATTGAGAGGATGCTTTGAGGTGAAAATTGTTTGAAGTTCTTACCAATAGTTCGTGGAATTTTCCTTCGAAGTGTCATGTCCGAAGTCGTAATTTTGTGGTGTTGTAATGGGAAGTTCCTTGTGGCCATTTTCTTCCATTAATTTAGGAAAAAAATAATCGGTCATTTCAGCTTTGTTATCGTTTGTATCGGTTCGAACATCTTCTGTGAGATTTTGCGTTTTGGGTGATAATTGATGGTCTTCTCTTTCTAGACTCAAATCCACCATTTTCTTCACCGTTGCGATTTTTTGATCTAGTTAAAAATCGAAATTAAAACATTGGAAATGTATCTAAATAATTGGTATATACGTGATTTTTTGTCCTCTTCTTCCAAAGCCTCGAGAATGGAAACGATATCGTCGAAACTGCCGCTCAAATTCGAATTTCTATCACCACCAGGCGAATCACCTGCTGCTTCTTTCCCATCGAATTCGCTCAAGCTGTTCAACATGTCCAAATAACTATTGGATTTTCCATCGCTTCTTTCGCTCATCCAAGACTCGATTTCCGCGTTCTTCGTTTCTTCCCGTTTGCCGCCGCATATTCGAATCTTCCGCTTGGTGTTCTTCCTCTTGCTCTTCTTCTCCACATCGAACAACCGGTCCAAATCGATCTCGGATATGTCCGGCAGATCCGGCCATTTCCCCGCCATTTTCGACGTATCCGTCAAATTGTTTTCTTCGATTTTATCGGCTACTTCATCTTCTTCCGATATTTTGATAGTAGGCGCGTTGAGTTTCTCCAAACGTTTGTTCAACGCCAACTTCTCGAAGTAATTACTGTCGATTTTCGGGTCTTTTTTGGAAGTTTCCGCTTCGTATTTGATGGTCAAGTAGGCCGTGATGGCGTCCATGCCTTTGTCGTCTCTGTAGTACTTCTGATGGGAGGTTTCGGGCGGCCTCGGTAGAGGCGGTTTCGTAGCCACGCCGGGCTGCATGTTCGAATGCCCGTAATAATCTACGTATAAATAACAAGAAACATAAAAAATATGGCAAGTACAAAGGATATTTTCAGTACCTTGTTTGTCTTCTTCGATTTCGAGTTTCCTGGCATCGTTTTCGTCTGACGATAGAGAAGTGTGTTCCTCGCAAGTGGTATCTTTGCTCGATGGTAAATTGGTGTTGTAGCTTTCCAGGAATTTGGCGTCTTTCCACGGATCCGACGGTTCTTTCAGCATGTTTTCCAGTATGAACGATGACGGGAGAATGTCGGCTGGAAATACGAACGACATCGAAGACGATATCGAAGAGATTAGACGAAGCAGTTACCTTCGAAATCTTCATGTAAACAGTCTAGATCGAGCGGTGGTAGTCTCTTCGGTACGTAACCGGCCGATGATGGTCGTTTATCATCGTTTAGAATGTCCTCGTAACGGTTAAACGAAGGTATAGTAGAAGCCGGTCTCGAGTACTTCTTGCCCGACAACAAACTCTTCGAGCTGGCCGTGCCGCAATCGTTCCTCCTCTTCGTTTCCAGATTAATCTGGAAAGTTATTAATATATATAGAACCCATTGTAGAGTTTTAAATTATTAACTGGATATATTTACCTTGTCTCCGTTCAACTTAAGCTGGACTCCATCCCTCTTCGACATAGCGTCGCCTAAGCCTAACCATCCAAGCGAGTAAAACACTATTAAATACCACTAAAACACCTTCCAGTACGGTTTGTTGTGAGTGAAACTCCCACATCTTTCCTATGGCAACGCGCCGACAAGGGGAGAATTAAATAAAATCAAAAATGGCGTTTTAAACAGTGACACAGGAAAATACACTTTTTTGACTTTTTCGAGTAAACATTTTTCATTTGACGTTTGAACGGAAAAATTGACTTTAAAGTGTGATTCTGTTATAAAGATTAATTTTGAGTTCTGTTTGTGTTCTGAATGTTACTGTTAAATTGTTTTATACATAAATAAATTATTTTAGATTAACAACCAAATTATAATTTGAATTTAAATATGGCAACGTCAAACGTCAACTTCATTGTGAACAAGATCCCTTCTTTACCGACATACCGACTAAGCGCCATCTGTCCGTGCGAATCGGTATTACATTTTTGTTATAATCCAAAACCACAGCTTATTCACTAAGATATCATTTATATCACTATAGTGATATCTATAATCTATAGAGTATATCAACTTTGCGTGGCACACACACACACACATACGTCATGTCGCTTCCCGTCGAAATTCGCAGAAAGAATCATGAATAATGACCCAGTGCAGGTCGATTTGCAGCTGCTGCGGGGCCAAAGGCAGCTGCCCGTGCTCCAGGAAGCGCTGCACCAAAGAAACGAATACCGAGGGACATTCGCCGTGTTGTTCGACGAAACATTCCGCTACTAATACGGAGAAATTGGAGAAAGGTACTACCCTATGGTTGGGTTGTATGCAGGAGTTGTTGTTGAGTACCTTGTAATTCTATTCAGGAGTTATTAGGGAGTATAGAAAGGTGCTCTTTGAGTACTTGATAATTTTCTACAGGAGTTATTAGGGTGCTTAGAAAGGTGCTCTTTGAGTACTTTGTACTTTTCCATAATAGTTATTAAGGAGGATAAAAAAGTAGGATTCTTTGAGTACCTCATAATTCTATTCTGGAATTGTTAGATATTATAAAAAGGTGTTCTTTGAGTACTTGATACTTTTCTACAGGAGTTATTAGAGAGTATAAAGAGCTTCCTATTGAGTACCCCATACATTTCTCCAGAAATTGTTAGGTAATATAGAAAGTTGTGGCTCTTTGAGTACCTTTATTGAGTTACTTGAAGAGCATTATATACCAAGCAGGTACCAAAAGTGAAATACCTCATTAAAAACGAAGATTTTCTTGGTGATGTTGTAGAGCTAGTATCAGTCGCTTGCGGTGAATTCAAAGCGAAAGAAGATTTCTGGGACGACCTGTCGCGTTTCGTGGAACTCTCCCGCAAAATTTCCGCGTACGCGAGAACCAGAAGATCGGAAGAAACCCCGTCAGGTACCGAAGAACGATTCGCCTGCTCCGATTACAACGGTAAATTGCAATCTCTAAAGTAAACAGGAAACTTCTCGAGCTCTAAAAACTCCAATTTCAGACACCCCTTTATCGTTTCGCGCGTCGAACATTCTATCGAGTACTCCGCGAGAGAACTACGCGCGGAATTCCGAAAGTTCCCATCGACCCCATTCAACATACACGAGAAGTTCTATACCCGGTGCGTACGACAAATACCCAGCAAGTACTTTTGATATTTTGCAGGCGTACCGACGACGGATTGCGGTACGAAATGTTGCCATTGCCCTTCCGATGTGTCGCGGAATTTTGTCAGTTTACTCACCGCTTCCAACGAGGAAACACCCCGCGTTCCGAGCACCAGACGTGGAGCGCCCTCTACGCGGAATTGTCCGGCTACTATCGGTGAGATATATTCCGGCTGGTTTCAATCGAATTTCGATTTTGTTGTGGTGTAAAAAGGTAGAAGGCGACTGAACGAACGACCCCTAGAGATCTACTCGCGCCCCATCGAGGAATTCCATTGTGGAAATAACGAAGAATGTAAGGATTATAGTCCGTTCGCTATCGGGAGATTGCTAGTAGAACCTGATTTCTTGGCCCTGTGGTTGGCTCAAAAAGAATCCTACAATTAAAAAAAACTTTTGAATCTTCTCTGCTCTGTTCTATTTTGGTTTACTATTAATCTACTCCACTCAATGCTTTATCCTGAAGAATGTGGAATAGTAGAGAAATGTGGGGACGAGTAGGGAAAAGTAGGAAAGAGTAGGAAAGAGTAGGGATGAATAGAGAAGATCAAGGAAGTGTAAAGAAGAGTAGGGAAGTGTAGGGAAGTGTAGGGAAGTGTAGGGAAGTGTAGAGAAGATCAAGGAAATGTAGAGAAGAGTAGGGAAGTGTAGAGAAGAGTAGGGAAGTGTAGAGAAGAGTAGGGAAGTGTATAAAAGAGTAGGGAAGAGTAGTGAAGTGTAGAGAGGTGTATAGAAGTGTAGGAAAGTAGGAAAATAAAGTTATTTAATCAAATAACTGTAATAATCAAATACCAAGTATTTTTTTAATTCATTTTTCGAATTGACTGCTTCAAAAAAGGTTTTATTGCAATCTCCCAATAGCGAACAGACTATAACTGCATCATCTCCATAGACGACGAAATCGCAAACGCTCTACCGGTTGAAATCCAAGTTATCGAACATCCCGATTGTATTGAGGATTGTACGCACACGACGTTTCGTTTAGTTCGAATTCCCTCTTCAATATCATGTTCTAGGGTTGGATATCGAAGCGTGTCTTAGGCAACCAGTTTTACATCGTCAATCCGGTTTGTACAGGTGATGTTTTACGCGGGAATTACTCAAAAAAACGTGATGGTCAAACAAATAATTGTTATGTTGAATATACACGAGTATTTAAATTATTGTTCGATTTATTTGGATGGTAGTGTAGGTGGTTATGCAACCAGTTTTACACTGGTTTGCAAGAGTATTGATTGGTTGAGTAATAAAATGTTTGTCGTTTTATTCAGTTTTGAGTGATTTTTAACGCTATATTTTGAATTCTTTTCACTCTTTCTACATTTTTTATATAGTGTTTTAACTACCAGAGTAATTCAGCCAGTGATAATATTTCTTGTATGCTTTCTCGCCGAGTAAAAGGCCGCAAAAAAAGCCGAAAATCTCTTTGCACGGTTTTATTTTAATACAGGTATATCTCTAATTTATACAATTAATATTTCTCGTGCGGGTGCGTTAAATTAAATTAATTTAAATTAAATAAAATAAATTGCGGGACACGATACACAAAATAAAGTACAGAACTTCTACCCTAGACAACAAAAAAAAAATAATAACATATAATAAATTTTATCGCAGATAAATGTGGTGCGTTTGATTGCGGGGAATCACAAAGCTACACTCACTACTAATACTATATAGTTTGCAATCGAAATCCACCAACTGGAAAACAAATCTGGGGGATTTTTTTTTTCGAGTTGGTACACCTCGTTAATAATATTTTACACGTAAAACGACTTTATACATTTTGGATATATTTCGTTGATTGCTTGGGCGTATATATTTATTATATTAGCTCTGATGTGAAGAAAATTTACTTAAAAAACTACTATACTCGATCGGTTCTCTAAGGGAAATTCCATCGAAAACTCGGATTGTAAGAAACATATACACACACATCCGAAAATACGTTTTAATAAATAGAAAAATAATTTTAACTTTTGTTTTGGACGAATTCACATTTACAATCCGAGTTTTCCACCAAAAACTGGGCGCGTAAAATAAACTAGGAAGGAAATATAACAAGGAACTCATCGTTAGACATACCAAAGAAGGTTTCGTTTTGCATTGCACAATAGGAATTATTACGTGTAAATCCCCCAACAAACAACCGATCGATAGCAAAACCCGGGAATCTTACAAAGAAGGCGCCTTCATTTTGTTGATGGCGTTCGCCAGATGGAGGATCTCCGTGTTGAGCTGGTGCGCCAGGTTCTCCAGCTTATCCACCGTATCCAAGATCTCCACGCGACCGGTGTGCGGATTGAAGCGCACCTCGAACGGCCGCGACATCTGCGACACCCATCTCCTGAACTTGTCCTTCATGTCCTCGATGCTCTCGGCCACGTAGTAGACGGGCTGGTAGTCCTGGTCCTGGTAGGGCTGCAGCGCCGTCTTGGCCGGATCGAAGGGCCGGTGCTCCGGTTTGTCGGAGAGCGCGTGCAGGAGTTCGCCGTAGGCGCTCAACAGGCCGGCGCCGTAGGCTCGGGTTTCGCCGTTCTCCTTGCACAGGCCGAACTCCACCGTGAACCAGTAGATCTGGAATGGAAACGGTGGAATTTGATGTTGGAAATATCCTCGGTGTGTGTGTGGGAAGGTAGAGAGATATTTAGAAGTGCTGTTGCCAATAGATGAGGAAGGAATATTGTTGTAAAGGTGTGAGAAAGTAGAGAGACTTGTGATCGACAAAAAGAGGCAATGAAAGTAGAGAGAATGTTGATTAAGAAGAGTCAGTAAAAGTAGAGAGAATGTTAAAGGTAAAAGTTAAGCAATTAAAAGTAGGGAGAATTGTAATAAACAAAAAGAAGCAATACAAGTAGAGAGTATGTTGATCAAGAAGGGCCAGTAGAAGTAGAGAGAATGTTAAAAGTAAAAGTTAAACAATTAAAAGTAGGTACAATTGTAACAAACAAGAAGAAGCAGTAAAAGTAGAAAGAAACCAGAGGAAGTAGTAGAAGTAAAGAGGATATTAAAGGTGAAAGTTGAGCAATTAAAAGTAGGGAGAATTGTAATAAACAAACAGAAGCAATAAAAGTAGAGAGAATGTTGCAGAACAAAAAGAGATAGTAAAATTGGAGAGAATATTGAAGGTAAAAGTGAGGCATCAAAAAATAGGGAGAATTGTGAGAAATAAAAAGGGACAGTACAAGTAGAAATAATGGCAAAGATTAAGAGAAAGGAGTAAAAGTAGAGAGAATCATAAATTGTAAAGAAAATGGTAAAGGAAAAAAAAGACAACAAGAAGATGCAATAAAAGTAGAGTTGAATGTTATGCAGTAAAAGTAGAGAGAAGAGTGAAGATGAAGAGAATAATAAATGTGTAAAATAAGGCAATAAACCTAAACTTTGGTATCTAAAAATCTAAGTGTAGTTGAAGAAACTGTTGTAAAAGTAGAGAGAACACCTTTCTGTTATCGATCGATATGGAAATGCTTGATGTGAATTAAGTAAAAAAAAAAATGTATTATAATGTGGATTTATTTGCGTCTTAGACCTAGTTTCATCGTATTGCAAAATGATAATCGACCATGTGCAGATTAGGTAAAAATGCATTCAGTGCACTTGCAATGGTCAATCGTGCGTTAAATACACTTGACCCTGACATATTGGTCGCATTTTTCCTTTAAAAAAAATAGATATATTAAAACTAGGAGACCGATTGCGAGTTAAAAAAGCACAAAGGATTCGTTCGTGGTCGAAGGTTACCGATTTTTAGCGCTAAAATAATTACCGTGGAGAGTTTCTCGATTTCCTCGTCGGAGGCGCCGAGCGAGGCGAGGCCGATTTCCTGCGAAAATTGAGCGAAACTCGGATCGGCCAGCAGCGGCATGTGTCCCAGGATCTCGTGGATGCAATCTCTGCAACGGACCAAAAAAAAATATATAAATATAAATCCCATCGCAAGTACATTTAAAATCGAATTTCCTACAACAATCTCTCGGGAATCCCCGATCGGATTCGTCATGGTAACCCAATCGGATTCCAACCGTTCTCCTACCGTTGTAATTATCATTCGCGATTATTCGTCTAAAGACAATCTTTATTTTTTTTTCGATAATTACCGGAAAGAATATTCGAGATTGTATCGATGTCGCAACGCGTCCTCAAAGGACCGGCTTTAATCGAATTTCGTACGCCATTACAGCGAGAAAGCTATTAATGGGACGCTCGACTTTGCTGTCGGTAATTACACCGGCTCGATTACATCGGCCCCATTGCCTGTTAATTACCGACGAAAGTGATAAAGTACAAGATGAAAAATAGTTGCATAAAACGCATGCATCGATAAGAAAGCTTCATCGATACTAGCGGTAGAGCGAATGCAGTAAAAGTGGAGAGAATGAAAGCGAATCTAGAGAAGGTAGATGAAATGTCGCTAATAAAAAGCAGGCAGTAAAAGTAGAGAGAATGTTGAAGGTGAAGATTATACAATAAAAGTAGAGAGAACTTGGCGAAAGCGGAGTACATGCAATACAACTAGAAAGAATATTAGCGAGAAGGCATTTAAAGTAGAGAGAATCTCGAAGGTGGAGAGAATGCAATAAAACTGGAGAGAATGATGCTTAAAGTAAACAGCGCTTTATCAGTAATAAAGCTTCTACGAAACTTGAAAAAGCAATAGAGCAACAGATGCAATAAAGGTAGAGGGAATGGTGGTAAATATTAGGCAATTAAAGTAGAGAGAATATTAAATTGTGAGGAAAATACAGTAAATGCAGGTAGATTAGAAAGGTGAAAAGCAGGAATCAAAAAGTAGGGAGAAAGTTGAAAATACAAAAAATACAGTAAGAGAGAATGAAGGTGAAAAAAAGGCATTAAAGGTAGAGAAAATCTTGCAGGCAAAGAAGAAACTAAAACTAAAAGCAGAGAGAATGTTGAAAGTGCAGAAAATACAGTAAAACTAGAGAGAATGTTGAAGGTGAAGATTATACAATAAAAGTAGAGAGAACGTGGCGAAAGCGGAGAACATGCAATACAACTAGAAAGAATATTGCAGGTAAAGAGAAGGCATTTAAAGTAGAGAGAACGGCGAAGGTGAAGCAAACAAACATCCTACAATCATCGACAAAGCTTTCGATCAACAAAAATCCAATCCACTTACGGTTCAGGAGTGTGGAACGGCGTCTTGGTGTGCCTCACGTACTGGGTGCTCTGGAAAATCCTGAAGGCGAGCGAGGCGAGAAAATCCCTGGCGGTGAGCAGACCGGCCGCCGGTCGCAACGTGAAACCCGTGCACCTCTGCATGAACTTGGACATCTCCTCCAACTGGGGCACCCGGTGCTGGTTGAAGATACCCTCGTCCTGCAGGATCTTGAACACCTTGCGGTATTCGGCGCAGGCGTGCTTCGGCATCAGATCGCACACCGTGGTGAAGACGGCGTTCCAGGTCTTGTTCTCGGTTTCGGTGTATTCGATGTGAGGTACCGGTTCACCGCTGTAAGAAATTTAGTATATAAAATTGAAGCTGGTGATAGGTTAAGATGTCTATTACTATTTGTAAGCGAATGCGATCTCGGCGATTTCCTTCCTCCTCGCCCTGTACTCCTTGTCGGAGAATCCCGGATGGTTCATGTCCAGATCGGGTTCGTATTTGGTCATCAGATGATTGCAACTGTCCAATTCGCTGGCGTGTCTAGGGAACCACGGGTGTTTGGCGGAGATGTTGTCGTCGCCGATGAGCGTGACGTGCTCGAGCGTGCCCGACTGTCGGAGACCTTTGAGCAGCTGCAGCAGATTGACGCGCGACATTTGGATCTTGACGAGGGCGTCGAGCTGGGCGTCGTCGCGCCGATTCGGGCGCGTCTCCAGGTGCAACACGCCGCCCTGGTACTTTTCCACGGCTTTGAGGACGCGCGACAGGGAGTTCATGCCGTCGCGCAGGCGTAGAATCAAAGCGGCCTTTTGGACGGCCTGCTCGGCTTCGGGGCCTTCTGCTATGGCGTTGGCCAGAACCAGCTCTTCCTCGGTCAGTCCGCCGTCTGTAATCGAATAGATTTTTTTTTTAGATGCGATAAATCCCGGTAAATCCGTGAGAGCGTCTCGCGAAAAGCTCGACGTTATTTTAACGATGCTTTTCGGCGAAGCCCGACCGCTAAATCCGGTTCTTCCCGGCCAAATGGAGAGTGAAAAATTGACTTTCAGCGTCGCGAAAGCCATTTCTCGCAGGACTTTGTCAAAGGGCCCAGCACTTTGGCCTCGTTCCTCCCGTCGCCTACCCCGTTTCTAAAAGGGCAATTACGTTCGAATTGTCTACGCGAACGCGCCGGATGGGAAAAATTACGAATTTATCGTGCGCTTTGCGAGAGCGTGTTCAGAAATTTAATTTCTTTTTTTTTGGTTTCCATTTGCGACTACTTGCATCTGCCGGTGAAAATTAATTCTTCTCGATAATTGCGGTGCTCGACAATTGTGAGGAAGGTAAAAGTTGGAATGTTGTTGTAAAAGTGTAAAAAAGTAGAGAGAATTGTGATCGACAAGAAGAAGCGGTAAAAGTAGAGAGAATGTTAAAGGTGTAACTTAAGCAATTAAAAGTAGGGAGAATTGTAATAAACAAGAAGAAGCAATAAAAGTAGAAAGAAACCAGAGGAAGTAGTAGAAGTAAAGAGGATATTAAAGGTGAAAGTTGAGCAATTAAAAGTAGGGAGAATTGTAATAAACAAACAGAAGCAATAAAAGTAGAGAGAATATTGAAGGTGAAACTCAAGCAATTTACAAGTAGGGAGAATTGTGAGGAACAAAAAGAAACAATAAAAGTAGAGAGAACGTTGGAATTGAATGTTATGCGGTAAAAGTGAAGAGAAGAGTGGGCTACAAATATAAATTCCCTATCTAAAAATCAAAGTGTAACTAAATACGTAAAAACTAAACAATTGGTCGTAGACATGAAATCTTCAGCTGGCCTTTTACTACGTACGTTTCCACATACTAAAGCCACTTTTGCAGTAGCATCATCGCCTGGCCTTTTACTGCGAACGCGTCCGGGGAATGTCCCCCAGTCGCTTTCGTACAAACGTCATAACGCGGCCTTTTGCTCTAAAGGTAACCGGCGACTATATCTCGATCGGAAACGCGTAAACACACATTATCGCGATATTTAGCGGCGCGTAACGCTTTGATACGCCGTTCGCCCAACCTTGTAGCACTAAACCGAAGAACTTGACACGATTTCGTGAACTTGAAAGCCGAACGGAACGCCGCGCAAGGTCGAAGGAATTTCGACAAATTTATACATTTACAACTTTCCAAGCGCACGCCCCTGATCGGATTTCGATTCGCACAAATCACAGGCTTAATTGTTATTTATTGGTGATCGTTACCAGCGGAATCTCCTTTTTGATTTTTTTACAAAACATCGTGCAATTTATAATACCTACTAGAAGCGAAAAAAATCGGTTTACATAAGCGATTTTTTTCTCCTTTCTAATTTTTTTAATTGACCCAGTATAGGCCAATAAATCGTCGATTTGAATCGAATCGCGCGAATTTCGTCAGAAAGGTTTTTTTTCGCGACGTTGCCGCGCTTCCTCCGGTCGCAGCTTCCCGGATTTTTTTCCGACTGCGTTACGGATCGAAATGTTGCGTAACGACTCGTTATACAATGCATCGAGAATAGGCAGAAGGAAAATAAAAAAAAAACAAACACACAACACGACGAGCGAGAATTAACGGCGACGGAAAACGGGGCAAAAAATCGAGGAAACGACGCGATGGATAAATATTTTGATGTCGGGGAGATGACATAACGATCGCAATTATTGGCTTTAGTAGAGCAAAAAGGAAACATTAAATTTAATTCTTCTGGTTCGACGAAAATGAAATAAAACGAAACAAAAAAACCGGCCGATAAATCGCGCTTTCTAATTCTTCGAGTCGAGATCAAAACAATCCGTTATTATTAAATGATTTAATTAATTATGCGGCCTTTTACCATGCATCTTCCCCAGCCGAGGGATGTCCATTTTGACACGCGGTCTTTTACTTCGAAGGCAACCGGCCACCCACGAATCGAATTAATGGCGATTAAAGAACAAAAAAACTTACCTTCATCGCTACCGTTTTGTTGGTCTTCCGGTTTATCGGCGGGCGCGTCATCTATTTCCGGTTCTAACGTGTCTAAACATGCCGAAAACATAAATCATGCAAATAAAAAAAATAACCAAAACAAAAATAGTATGAAAATGTGCCATGCTTTTCAACTAAACATCACGAAGCAACCAATCTACCACTATGAGCGCATAAAATATACCCATTCGGTTGCAAACGAGCAATATTTTTCGATGAAGAAATTAACGAAGATGTCGATGAAGAAATGAATGAAGAAATCTCACCGTTCGCCCGTTGACGGGCTTCGTCCAAGACGGTTTGCTTCGTTTGCTTCACTACCAACGTTTCGAATCTGGCATCGTCGACGAGAGATCTTCTTCTTGCCGGGTAGCCGTTCTATAAAAAAAATATTTACGTTTTTTTATCCAATGAATAAATTCTAACACTAATCGATTTATGCAAGTTCTGGTCAATTTATGGCTTGTTTTTAAGAACGTTTGGGCGATGAATATTGGGTGTGTATTGGAGATTTTTAGTGTTTATAACAATTAATTACTTTCTTCTTTCATCTTATCTGCTTTAGCAGTCTTTTAATTGCTTTTTTTTCCTTTTATGAAGCATAATTCTCTTTTGTATTGTATTCTTCTGGCATTTTTTCGCCATTTTCTATACTCTGCTGAAGTATTTAACAGATGAGGGTAGTTAAAAGTAGGTAGGGAGTTAAAATTTCTCGGCCTGAATCATTATGAACTGTCTAGAACTATTCAGAACGTTCCAGAATCATTTTAGAATTGTCTAAAACCATTTAGAACGCTTCAAAAGTTTTTAGAACTATCTAAACCCATTTAGCAATGTCTAGAACCATTTAGAACGCTTCATAACCATTTAGAACTGTCAATAATCATTTAGAATGCTTTAGAATCATTTAGAATTATCTACAACCCTTTTAAAGTGTCTAGAACCATTTAGAACGCTTCAAAACCATTTAGAACTGTCAATAATCATTTGGAATGCTTTAAAATCATTTATCTATAACCATTTTGAAGTGTCTAGAACCATTTAGAACGCTTCAGAACCGTTTAGAACGCTTCATAACCATTTAGAACTGTCAATAATCATTTGGAATGCTTTAGAATCATTTAGAATTATCTAGACCCATTTTGAAGTGTCTAAAACCATTTAGAATCGCGATCTTTCGTTATCGTAACTTTTCACTTTATTCATGTACTTCAAAACTTCATCCCTTTCTTCCCTTAAATCCTCTCCCAGTTTCCCCGAAAAAAATCCCCACGTTTTATTGCACGATGCACAACAACAATGCAACCGAATAAACCGAGCGAATGATTTATTTCAGCCGAAATATCTCGACATTATTTCCCGTTCGCGAAAGTTGTCTTGTTAGGGAATAAGAACCAAAGATGGGGAGCGGAATTAATTTCCTGCAGTCTTCCTGCTGGTTGGGACGGTTCCGTTTTCGCGCAGGAAATCCCCCGGCTTCGATTAAAGAGTTCCAATTGGATAAAAAAAACTATTAATTAGCGCAATTACGCCGGATTAATTAGCCCGTTTCAGGGACGCTGGCCCAGCCCAGCCCCCCCGGAACCCCGGCATTCCTTTCGTTTATAATAAACGACAATTTGTATAATAATTATTTCGCATAAAAAAAATAATAATTAGATGGAGAGAGAGAGTGAGAGAAATAAGAAAAAAAAACGAGTTACAACGACAGCCGAAGGATAATATAATAGATAATGAGCGTTATAAATATTTAATAATCAATTAACACTTGTCCGCTCAAGTACTTATCTTGTAATAAATATAGAGCGAAATAATCGAATATAGCATCGTTCTAATTAACAATCATAGTAATTAATTCGTTTCCTATGTCTCCATTATAGGTAAATCGGTCGATTAAAATCGAACAGGGTAATTAATTTTTCATCTAATATATTTTTACGAGTTTTGATTGATTAGTGAACCGTTAAATGCGCGAACGCGATACTTCCTTGTGGTAAGGAGACCTTCGCAAAGGATTTATTTTTATGATACACCCGTAAGTGTTTTTGAAAAAAAAAATAAATAAAAAAAAACATCCGCCTTTGACATTGCTCTTGTGGATTTTTACGTTCGAAAAATGCCGTTAATTAATAGGAAATTCCTTTAATCAAAAACGATATTTAAATGTGTTAATTACATGTTGTTGGAAGTAATTGCTTTTTAGCGGAATACATAAATTGAAGCAAATTGAAATTGAAAGTAATTGAGTTAATTGAGATGTTAACAGGACTTTTTCTGTTAATTAAATATTTGTTGTAATGATTTGTTGCATTGGATCAAATTAATTGTTATATCGAATCAGTGTAATTGAATTATTTTTACGGATATTTAATGTTAATATTTTAGAAACTTTTTTTCATATTTTTTTATCAAGGAATCTTCCTTTAAAATATCCCGTATATTTTGTAAACACCCTGTAAATCATAAAAAAATATTGGTTTTTAAAACTTTCTATCAAAAAAACTATATTTAAATAATTAAATATGTGTACCCTCAAATCTTTAAAAAACTCCAACTTTGACCTAATAACGTTTGTAATAAAAATTATAGAGTTTGTTTAGATAAATAATAGTAATTAACTTTCATATAGAAACAACGAAGAGGATATTTCACTTCAAAATAATTCCAATAAATATCCACTATATTAAACCAAAATTATTATCTACAACCAATTTACATTTCCTCTTCATTGCTTACCAATATTTTAACAACCCGGATTTAAACCACTGAATTAAAATGTAATCGCAATTGTAACGAATGCAGTAATTGAATTACAAATGAATTATACAACGGAGGAGCTTGTAATTTATTACCGCTTCAATTACAATAAAAGTAATTCAATAACTTTTTCAATTAACAACACTAATAATGATTGAACGCTTTTGCTAATCAATTCAAACGAAATCATATTACAAAATTGAGGAGCTTGTAATTAATTACCGCCTGAATTACAATAAAAGTAATCCATTTACTTGTTCAATTACTCGTAATTAATTATTTAACAACATTGATAGAAATGACTGATCGGTTTTGCTAATCAATTCAAACGAAAGGAGTAATCGAATATACAATTGAGGAGCTTGTAATTAATAACTGAGAAATGAGTAATTGTATTACAAAATTGAGAAGCTTGTAATTCAATTACCGCCTGAATTACAATAAAAGTAATTCATTTACTTGTTCAATTACTCGTAATTAATTATTTACCAACATCGATAAATGACTGATCGGTTTTGCTAATCAATTCAAACGAAAGGAGTAATCGAATATACAATTGAGGAGCTTGTAATTAATAACTGAGAAATGAGTAATTGTATTACAAAATTGAGAAGCTTGTAATTCAATTACCGCCTGAATTACAATAAAAGTAATTCATTTACTTTTTCAATTACTCGTAATTAATTATTTACCAACATCGATAAATGACTGATCGGTTTTGCTAATCAATTCAAACGAAAGGAGTAATCGAACATACAATTGAGCAGCTCGTAATTCAATTACTTTTTCAATTAATTACCGACCACCACCACCCGCTAAATATTCCGCACAAAGTTACCCCAAAAAAAAAATAAATAAAAAAAAAATCAACCACCACATACCTCGATGCTGTAGGACTTCTTGATAGCGAACATCTCGCGATTCTTCTGTGCCGCCGCGACAGCCGCCATTCCTGCAACCCTGGGGGTAACTTCAACGAGCGATGGGGCGACGAAATAACCGGAAAACCGAAACCGCACACAATCCCGACTCGCCTTTTGTACAAATCGCTGCGATTCAGCCTGAAAGAGGTTTCACTGCTGGATCGATTCGACGGGGCCGATTGCTTCGTCGATTGAAAAAAAATTCAAAACTGATCGGGCGATCACACGTCGTTCGTGCAACCGTCTGAAGAAGGGTCGGATTTTTTTGTCAACGTCGGCCGGCGAGCGGTCTCGAAAAAGTGATCAGCAACGAGGCCGGCGGTGCGTTTATGTATCGCCGGGGGTCCCCCCGAAAACGGCGGTCTCGGGGCGCTTGCGCTCATTCGATGATTGTATGGTAGTCCGGGATCCCCGCGAAGAACGCGACTCGCTGTTCCAAGGTTTTTTTTTCGGTTTTGGCTTTGCTCCGGTTTCGGGGCGATCTGTGGAGGGATCTCCGGTAGCGCGCCCGCTGACGCTCGATCGTTCTTGTTGGTTCATTATTTATTATTCATTGTAGTTTTTTTTGTTGGTTTTTTTTTGTTTTCACCGGACGGTAGCGGATTTTAGAAATTAAATGCGTCAAAATATACAGGGTGGTTCGTACAGGGTGGTTTGTACGGGGTGGTATTCGATTTTTCTGTTATTTTGTTTTTTAAAATTAGGTTTTTATAGGGTGGTAAATGCATGGTGGTTGGTACAGGGTGTATGGTATTCCTTTTTTTTTATGTTATTTGTTTTTAGTTCACCTATAACAGTAGCGGATAAATATACAGAGTGGTTCATACAGGGTGGTTCTAACAGGGTGGTATTTCATTTTTCTGTTATTTTGTTTTTATTTCACCTAATAGTATAGCGAATATTTTACAAATTAATGCTTCAAAATAATATGTATTAATTCTGAACTAATTCTGGACTAATTGTAGAGTAGATCTGAATTGATTCTGATCTAATTCTCTACTAATTCTAAACTAATTCTGTTTTAATTCCGAACTCATTCCGAATCACCTTGGGTGATTGAGATCTTGATGATTGAGGTCTTTTAATTCTAAGCAACTTTTTCAAGTAAATTTTTTTAATATTCTAGAGAATAAAAAAGATGGAAATTTTTAAAATTTCTTTAAATTTCCAATATTTTCCAATACGTACCTGCCATTACCAATACAGGTGTCAAAAAAATAATTAATACCAACAAATTAATTTTTCGAAATGCTGATTATTTATAGAGAGTGTTTCCAAAGCGTTTCCAATCGAAATGGCGACAATTTTGAGCAGTTCCTTTAACTTTCAATAAACAGGGCCATATTAAATAACTTTTAAATAATTAAAAATTGAAAAAATATGCTCTCAAACATGATCGAATATTAAAAAATTACTTGAAAAACTTGCCTAGAATTAAAAGATCTATACGCAGTTAAAAATAAGTATCAACTTATACGAGACACCCTGTAGATATCTACTAAATTTATATTATTTTTTTACAAAATTCTAGATAGGTACGCCACTGGTAAATTGACCCGTGCTACATTCTAGATCGCGACGATTCTAATGACAATTAATAATCCTTTTTAATTGTCCATTAAATATCGCGCACCTTCCGAGAAACCGAGTCGGTTCGCGCGCCAGGATTTTCCGAATGTTTATTTCGTTTTTGGTATTTAATGCAGGTATTTCACATGTCCGAATACAGAGAGCAATGTGCGAAATACAAAAAGAAATTTCAACGGGATTCCTGGAAGGGCGATTGACGCACTGAATGAGTAAGTTCGGTAAAAAAAAAAAATTTAGGTGCGTTTCGAACATCGAAGGATTTTCCTTCGAATGCGGTGAATTGGTGTTTTTCTCGCATCTCGATTTATCGGTTTATTTGTATTTTTTATTAGTAAATAAGAGCGGTCTGGGTTTTACTTATAATTGGCTACCCGGCTTTTTTTTTCTATCGATGAACTGGAAGTAATTATTTATTATTTATAGGTAAATGATTATATGGAAAACTACGAATGTGTACAAACAATTAATCTTTATATGTGTATATACAGGGTGTCTCTAAAGGTTTGGGACTCAATTGATGTAGACTTCTGGGATGAAAATAAAATGAAAGATGATTTTTTTATTTTCAACTTTAACACCCTTTAGCTTCTTTGCTATGCTGCACTTTTGGATATTACATCATCTTATTAGACCAACTTTTATTAAATTTCAAAAAATTACCTTGTAATATTAGATTTTTTTTTTCAACAATCGATACAAAGTCAATCGATCACCTTCTGTAAACCGAAAAAAAAAATTGCATTCGATTAAACTAACAAATGCAACAATGTAAATCAATTTGCGGATATCCTTGATCGATTTTCGATTCGATACACTTTTTTTTAGTGCGAAAATTTAAAATTCCCGCCATTTTGGCGTTTGACAGTTGGCAATTCGGCTTTAGAAAACAGTTGGTAGATGTGAAAGATTATGTTTTTTTTTATCGATTTTTTTTCGTGGTTTTTGGTCGATTCCCTTTTAATCGGACGATTCATTTAACGATTTCCTGTTTACAAAATGGGTAAATTTTTCGAACTCTCGACGTCATTGAAAATGGTATTCTAAGTAGGTATATAAGAAGTGTTGCGTCAAAGATTGTTTTTTGTCTAATTGTTGATACAATTATTATAATAATTGCTCGATTTATTAATAGAAAATCATGTTAAATATCCTGCTGTGATAAATTACGGGGGCTATTCTAAAAGTAGCAGAATTTCTAACGAACAAAAAAACCGTCTGCGGGAACTTCCAATATTATTTTTAATAACATTATTGACCTCAATTAAACGATCGAAGGTCGGTATTATATTAATCTAATTACTCGGTAAATATTTATTTCCTTTAATCTTTCGAACGATATAGGTAATTAATTTTTGCTTCAATCAGATGAACCGATCTCCTGCAAAAAACCCAAGTTAAAATAAATTTACAGTTGTAACAATTACTGAGATATAAAAGGCCAAATGTCAGTCTAAAAAAATACACCCTGTGTAGATAAATTTTAACAACGGCACTTAATCAGCGTCTTTTCCAATTTGACAGTTTTGCATTGTTGTTATGGAGTAACTAAGGAGATTTGTTTTCAATTGACAGATTTACATTGTTGTTATGGAGTAACTAAGGAGATTTGTCTCAAATTGACAGATTTACATTGTTGTTATGGAGTAACTAAGGACTTATTAGGACTGTATGTAGTATAACTCTAAAGCTACGTTTAGAGTTAAAGTATTAAATGGTGTTTAGCGAGTGTCAGGTGCATTAACCTGGTAATTTCCAAACCGTTCGAGTCGAAAAGGATTTTCCAAGAAAGCATTAATAATTATTACTGTTTGGTTTTTTTTTTTGGCGATTTCGCCTTCTCACGCTGTCCGTTGAATCCCGCAAAAATTGCTTTATTATTTTTGCCAATTTGTTATTTTATTTCGCTTCCCTTGCGGGAGAGGAAGCGAGATAGTAATTTGCATAAAGTCAAGAACATCGATTTTCGTGCGTAGATTAATTAAATTGGGATTAAGAATTAAATGTAGATAACCGGCCGAAGGTTGTGGATAAAAGTAACGATAAAAATTAGTATATCTAGGAAATTCGACCGCTCCCCGCGGTATTTTCTAATTGTTAATTTATATTTCGATTAATTGTCGGTATAGGTACCTTGAAAAAATTTATATAGCTATAATATATCCTTAATTGCAATTTCTATATAGACAATAAATAGGAAGTAACAAAAAAATCAATCGGTAATCGAAATCATCTCCTTAAATTTGCCCCACATTATCGATCGAAACATGTCCTTGATAATTATCCAATTATTTTTATTATTACTCCATTTAATTATTTATAAATGTTAATTTGGTATTAGTAGCAATTAAGTTATATACAATTTGCATGTTCGTAAATTAACAATAATACGAGGGTAGGGTGAAACGTTTTCAATCTGATACACTGATGAGGGCGCTCCAATCGGTGCAAATTCTTATTTCTTATTTGGGACATTTAATTAATTCTAGAACTGCCTGGAACCATTTAGAACGCTTCAGAATCAATTAGAACTTTTTAATATTTTAATTGGAATGATCCAGAATCATTTAGAACTGTTTCGCACTAAAGTTTTCGACTTAATAAGAAGAATATTGTAATCTTACAGTATTTCGCTTGTTCTACAAATTGTTCGAATGTAAATTTATGAAATATTTTATCAAATAATTTGATGTAATAGTAAAATTCAAGGGTACATACATACTACATTGTTTAATAGATAGACATTTGTTATGAACTCCAGCATGTAGATTTTATTACAAATATAAGGATATTATTAACCTTGCATTATAAGAAATATATACTATTTCACCCAATTATTGTAATTCTTTGTGTTTCGCTTTTGCCGTGAGTCACAATTAACCAACTGCAACTAATTGCGTTTAGTAATTGGCTTTTATAATGACTTATCAATCATTAAAAAATGATCTTCATTTGCAGTCATTTCCATATTCAAATTGCAAAATATTGTGTATCGTGTACGATTTACTTAAATTGTTTGTTATCTCAATAAAATATACCTTGAGAATTTACTTTTAATAAACTTTATCTATTTATTTATTATACGCAACAATACTCGGAAGAAATCGAATCGAAATTTGTACACAACACCATTAAAAAAAACCTTCCATGTATTTATAATAATTCTATAATTATTGTCGCATTCGTAAATGGTGTAATTATTTCGGAATAAAATTTAGGAAACTTTTCGAATCCGATCATTTCGCGGTAAATGAGAATAATATTCCGAGAATGAATAATATTTTTTAATATGCCTGCATTCTTCGATTTATTTTATAATTTTTTATTCAATCAAATGTAATGTTATTTAATTGCGCGGGTAAATTGATCATTAAGCTATACATATAAAATTGCCGGTTTAATAAATAATCAAAACTTTTATAATTTCCTCGTATAAAATAAATGCGGCGAATTGCGTCGAATATGAGCTCGACTTGATTTTTCTTTAATTAAAATAAAAAAAAATAAAATGCACTTTCACTTTGCATAAATATTGCATATGTAAATACCGGCGGAATTTTCGAGCATCCTCTCCCATCGATTTTTAATAGAAAAAAACATTTTAATTTCAATCAATTAAAAACCTTGAAGAAGAGGAAAAAAAAAGATAATCATGCGCAAG